ACTAGATTGATGCATGGAAATGGTTTCTTTCGCGAAAGGTTGTCATGTTTTCCTTTTTGTGATCTCATACCTGTCATCACTGGATCAAAACTTATAAGTAGCCTGTTTAATACGTATGTATGTCCATATTGCAGGCTTCTCGATAGGGTGTCTTCGCAAACTTTAGCTTCTTATAATTTCGTAGGGTATTCTTGATAGATCAGCTTCTATAAACATAGACAAAACTTGTTTTTGTGTTAATTGCACCTTTTAATTTTATTGATAATACTACAATTTTGGTGCTAAGTATTTGGCCGAGTTTCTTCTCCATTTTGTGGTGTACGTCCTAATATTATACCACCTACAATTTTAGGCCGCATCCGAACGGCAAATGGATTTTATGATAAGCTTTTCAATAGCAGAAATGCACTCGTAGTTTTTCCATTGCCTGCCGAGGGGAGACCACTGTTAGAAAAAACATTTCCTAATTTAGATGCTGACCAGGCCAGGGATCGAAGCCAGCGCTTATGGAGTGGTGGTAGCACGCACCTCTAACCACTTAGCCACAGGGAATGAAACTACTTTTTTCTTAATTAGGAACAAAATATAGGTTCAAAACATTACTTTTAAAACTTAAATAACTAACACAAACCCGACTAATTAAAATTAATAAAAAATTATAATTTGTATTCTTACCCGCTTCACAAGAATTCATTTATTTTCAAAATCTTTGCTTGAAACCGTACAAATTAAAAGTAACAAGAACAATATTTTTTTAAAAACATAACAACNGTTAGAAAAAACATTTCCTAATTTAGATGCTGACCAGGCCAGGGATCGAACCCAGCGCTTATGGAGTGGTAGCACGCACCTCTAACCACTTAGCCACAGGGAATGAAACTACTTTGTTCTTAATTAGGAACAAAATATAGGCTCAAAACATTACTTTTAAAACTTAAATAACTAACACAAATCCGACTAATTAAAATTAATAAAAAATTATAATTTGTATTCTTACCCGCTTCACAAGAATTCATTTATTTTCAAAATCTTAAAAGTAACAAGAACAATATTTTTTTAAAAACATAACAACAAAAAACTTAACTTGAAAAACATTGTGAATACTAAAAAACCAACACGTGATCGCTTATTTTAGTCACTGTATCTAATAACGGGTCTGAATGGGACTTATGACTATTTCTTTCACTTTGACTCTCTTTAATATATCTTAGCTCCCCGCCGACACCTCTATGGCGACAAATGGACACTGAGTAAGTAATAAACTTTCCATTAATCAATTACAATTGAACTTTATATTCTTAGCCATGCATACAATTTTCATACACATGAGCCATTTGTTTTGAAAGTGGCATAATTCACTTCCCACCTCTTGTGCTTAAATGGCCGATTACTTCTATCTGAACGCGTCAGTTATTGGTTCAACGTCATCAGCCGCTGTCCTATCCCTGTCTCAGCTGCCGATTCAAAAACNAAAAACTTAACTTGAAAAACATTGTGAATACTAAAAAACCAACACGTGATCGCTTATTTTAGTCACTGTATCTAATAACGGGTCTGAATGGGACTTATGACTATTTCTTTCACTTTGACTCTCTTTAATATATCTTAGCTCCCCGCCGACACCTCTATGGCGACAAATGGACACTGAGTAAGTAACAAACTTTCCATTAATCAATTACAATTGAACTTTATATTCTTAGCCATGCATACACTTTTCATACACATGAGCCATTTGTTTTGAAAGTGGCATAATTCACTTCCCACCTCTTGTGCTTAAATGGCCGATTACTTCTATCTGAACGCGTCAGTTATTGGTTCAACGTCATCAGCCGCTGTCCTATCCCTGTCTCAGCTGCCGATTCAAAAACGCCCCATCTCAGCACATCTTCAATGTATTTTCGTTTGAGATAGGGCGTTCTTCAACCAAATTCTGGGATAGGGTGTTTTTCAATAAAATTCTGAAATAGGCCGTTCTTGAAAAGTTTTCTGAGATAGGGTGTTTTCGAACTGGCTGCCGAGATAGGGCGATCTTCCACTAAGCCATCGATATATAAACGTACTTTAACCTAAACTTCAATGATACATTAGGAAAGAAGGCTGAGAATCCCTCCTATAACAGATGNTTTAGTCACTGTATCTAATAACGGGTCTGAATGGGACTTATGACTATTTCTTTCACTTTGACTCTCTTTAATATATCTTAGCTCCCCGCCGACACCTCTATGGCGACAAATGGACACTGAGTAAGTAACAAACTTTCCATTAATCAATTACAATTGAACTTTATATTCTTAGCCATGCATACAATTTTCATACACATGAGCCATTTGTTTTGAAAGTGGCATAATTCACTTCCCACCTCTTGTGCTTAAATGGCCGATTACTTCTATCTGAACGCGTCAGTTATTGGTTCAACGTCATCAGCCGCTGTCCTATCCCTGTCTCAGCTGCCGATTCAAAAACGCCCCATCTCAGCACATCTTCAATGTATTTTCGTTTGAGATAGGGCGTTCTTCAACCAAATTCTGGGATAGGGTGTTTTTCAATAAAATTCTGAAATAGGCTGTTCTTGAAAAGTTTTCTGAGATAGGGTGTTTTCGAACTGGCTGCCGAGATAGGGCGATCTTCCACTAAGCCATCGATATATAAACGTACTTTAACCTAAACTTCAATGATACATTAGGAAAGAAGGCTGAGAATCCCTCCTATAACAGATGTAGACTAGAGGTTTACGCCGACAGGCTTTGCGGCGGCGGCGTGGTCAACTTCAAAAAGATTCGGCGGCGGCGGCGACGCCGGCGCGTCTGGAAACGCCGGCGCTACTGCGCATAAGGTAGATTCAAAAGAGCCATGAGGCTACTAATCTTGTTATGTCATCTCGTCAGCGTTAGGCATTCGCCATGCCAATTAAGATTATAATTCTATTGAATTCATTCGTTGAATTAGTTTTAAATTTAAATTACGTTACTTGAATTAAAATGTGGAGTGTCTGGCGCTGATGGATGGGCGAACAGAAGAAGGTCTGAGGTATATAGGTACATACACACATGGCTCTCTATGTTCTCTTCAGATCCGTATGTTCTATTTAAATTTAAAGAAATAAAAGAAATTAAAAAGTTAAGTTATTGGGGTAATTTATGTCGCTACCAGTAATTTTTTGCAATAATTTTACTGTTNAGTGTCTGGCGCTGATGGATGGGCGAACAGAAGAAGGTCTGAGGTATATAGGTACATACACACATGGCTCTCTATGTTCTCTTCAGATCCGTATGTTCTATTTAAATTTAAAGAAATAAAAGAAATTAAAAAGTTAAGTTATTGGGGTAATTTATGTCGCTACCAGTAATTTTTTGCAATAATTTTACTGTTCTGTTCTGTTAAATTACGGAGCTCTTACGATTTTTTGCGGATTACATATTGAAAACAAGGTTGGTCTACTTTTTTCTAAAAGTTTAACCCATCAACTCGAACCAGAACGGGCCTTTTTGACCCACTGTTTAAAAAAAATGCCTTATAGATGGTTAAAATTTCCACTAAAATATTAAGCCCCAAATTTTTCTAAGGAGAACCGAATGTAATGAAAAATAATACTTATTATTAAAATTAATACTTAACTTTAACCCTGTGTAGAAAACTTTGTGATGTGAGGGAGCAAAACCTTCCTGGGGTTTGACCACCACTAAGGAAGGCTAATTTTCACACAGCCACCTAGTACTTGTATACATATGTGGGACCCCCGAATAAAATAACTTACGAATGTAAAAATTAGCAAAAAAAAAGTGTATGCTTTTTAATGAAAATCTGTTTAAAATTAAAAAAACACNTTCCACTAAGCCATCGATATATAAACGTACTTTAACCTAAACTTCAATGAAGAATGTGTAGAAAACTTTGTGATGTGAGGGGGCAAATCATTCCTGGGGTTTGACCACCACTAAGGAAGNTGTGAGGGAGCAAAACCTTCCTGGGGTTTGACCACCACTAAGGAAGGCTAATTTTCACACAGCCACCTAGTACTTGTATACATATGTGGGACCCCCGAATAAAATAACTTACGAATGTAAAAATTAGCAAAAAAAAAGTGTATGCTTTTTAATGAAAATCTGTTTAAAATTAAAAAAACACAAATACACAGGAAAATCAACTTGTCTTTGTTTCATCTCCAATAATTGAGGAGATATTCGCGTTAAAGTTTTTGATGTGTTATAACCTGTTGTAGTATGTGTATAAAAAAGTAGTATTGTTGTAGTATTGAAAATAATTCTCTACTGCAGAAAAAAATAGTTAGATGACCAGTATTCGACCCTAATTTAACTGTAATAAACGCTTTCGATCGAAAAATATGTTGCCTATGTTTTTTCTGAGTTATGTTCTTTTTGGAAAAAAAGGAGATCATATTATTTTCCAGTGGCCCAAATGATGCAAAAACAACTCCTTTAAAAATGTAATTTTCATTTAGCAAAACNTCTTTTTGGAAAAAAAAGGAGATCATATTATTTTCCAGTGGCCCAAATGATGCAAAAACAACTCCTTTAAAAATGTGATTTTCATTTAGCAAAATTGTGTTTTTATACTAGTAGTATTTAGTTCCTTCAGACGATGTATTTCAATGTACATACATCATGAAAATTTTGTACAAAATTCCTTAGGCGCGGAACGCCGCCGCCGCCGCGCCTATATTTTCGTAACTCGGCGGCGGCGCGTGAGCTCGGCGGCGTATACCTCTAATGTAGACGACGATTTTGAAATAATTGTCTCAGATGACGAACTATCAAAACCCAAGATCTCTAGGTTCATCTATCAACAACTAAAAATGTCTAGACTAGCTAACATAAAATTCTTCAGGCGGTCTTCAAAGCCCCAAAAATTATTATATTTAGGCCCCCGTTCCGTCGCAGGCCTTGTTCCAACGTACAACATGAATATTCCGACTTTTGAACCAATCGACCTGAAGACTTTACTTGATAAAGAACAAATCTACTTAAAACTGTGGCACTATTTATTACATTATTTCTTTTTTCTNCTCTAATGTAGACGACGATTTTGAAATAATTGTCTCAGATGACGAACTATGAAAACCCATCTCTAGGTTCATCTATCAACAACTAAAAATGTCTAGACTAGCTAACATAAAATTCTTCAGGCGGTCTTCAAAGCCCCAAAAATTATCATATTTAGGCCCCCGTTCCGTCGCAGGCCTTGTTCCAACGTACAACATGAATATTCCGACTTTTGAACCAATCGACCTGAATACTTTACTTGATAAAGAACAAATCTACTTAAAACTGTGGCACTATTTATTACATTGTTTCTTTTTTCATTAGGTGGGCAAAGCCAGGCTTTGCGTTCACGTTACATCGAGATTTCCTTTTTTTACATTCTATTAACTCGTTTTTATTTAAAATTTACTTTGTTCCACATAGAAAGCTTTTTATTGAACCACATGATGATGTTTCAATCTTATATGCGGATGTAGTCAACTACACTTACTTGACTACAACACTGGATGTGAAAACATTAGTGGAAACTTTACACGATTTATTTGTAAAATTCGACACAGCATCCCAGGTAAACAAATATCGTCTATGATTAAAAATTCTTTCAGATTTTAAAGCAATTCCTTTTGCAGGAGTACGATGTTTTGCGTATTAAGTTTCTAGGTGACTGCTATTATTGCGTGGCCGGCGTTCCAGCCCCCAACGAGTACCACGCTAGATCATGCGTTTACCTTGGCTTGCGTATGATAAAGGATATACGTGATGTGAGGTAACCATAACTACAATTGTACTTTGTCTCCTGTACCTTGAATCTGGCATTAAATTTTCTTTAGATCGAAACGAAAGCTGGACATTGATATGCGTATCGGTGTACATTCAGGAAATATTTTGTCTGGCGTCATTGGTGCAAACAAGTGGCAATTCGATATTTGGTCCAAAGACGTGGACATAGCCAATCGGCTGGAGTCGACTGGTGAGGCGGGTCGTGTACATGTTAGCGGACAGACTTTGCAACAGCTGGACGGTGAGTTTATGTATGAGGAGGGCACGGCGAAGGCGCGTTATGATCCGGTCTTGCGCAAATATCATATTCGGAGTTTTCTAATAAAACCGCCATCAGCAAGAGTTAGTATACGCTATGGAATATACAACAGATATTTATAATCAATTTTAAGACGCACACTGGCAATTCAATTATGTTTTACAGGTTTCGTCATACATTACAATGAGGCGACCAACAGCAGCAAAGCGAAAACGTTTGGAAACAAAATCTGTAGGTGTAAGTTTAAAGAATTCCACTTATATCTTTTGAGAGTTTTAGTGAAAGTCTTTTTTAAGGATACCAGAAGTGATATCCCAACAAATTTCATGCAAAGCAGCATAAGTCAGTATAATCAAATTCGAACCCAAGCCACTTTGGAAATGAGCCGAGAAGTAGAAAGAATGCCTATTGGTAGGATACAGTAAGTCTAATTTTTATGCAATAATATATATGTATGTATCTCTGAAGGTTACGCAGGTAACTAACCCGTTGAAAAATGTAGAACATTCAACCCTCTATCCTTTTCCATTACGTGCTTCAATTAGCAGTCAAACAGAAGAAAAAATGCTGGCCAATGTTTACTTTAGGACCCTGAAGTTAATCTTTTCGCACTCATAGCTAGCATTGTTGTCACTTTCGTTATTGAGAAACAAGACTACAGACTTCAATTGTTTCTCGATCTATCTGCTATAGATTTATCTCCGATAGTACGTGGATATGCCTGGATTAAACTCTGGTAGCAAGCGCCGGACCGGATTCCGTGACCGGTATCCAAGCCCTAATCTTGGGTGATGTTGAGATGTCTCAGGCTACAGCAACTTTCTCCTTTGATATATCAGATTCGCTTTTTAGATCTCGAAACTTAACTTAATCGTTCGCATCCTTATTGTAATGCGGATTTATTGACTTTAGTTTTTTAAGAGCGCTGAACTCTAGCTTTAGGATTGTAAGGGTTAAAATTATTAATTTTATATCCATAATTGATCTCGCGAGTGCTCGCCCGATCAGAGTTCCGCTATATCCGGGCAAGGAGTATAACCTTCAGAGATCGCCTGATTGCGGCTTGTAAAGGGCCCAGCCAGGGCGATTTTCGAAACAGGTCGTACAGCACATGATCCTCTGAAAGGAAAGCTGGACATTGTCTTTTGGAAGCCGAAGCGCTGCGACTCATAGGGTACCCTCGAGGCCATCACCTTGGGCAGGGAGTGCATTGAAATCTCGTTGGGAACCTGCGGCTTGCCCCTGGATAGATGAGCGTACAGTCGGCACAGCGAGCGCTGGGCTAAAAGCCCGACAAGCATGGTTGCAAGGTCCTTCTGACCGGTTGTTGACCCCTACCGATTAAGAGAGCTTCTACAGCTGTTTAAGCGTTACCTCTCGATTCCCACAAGTGTACTGACCGGACATTGTCCTTTAGGAACCAACGCGGTGCGACTTAATAACATTAGAGATCCTTACTGCCGCCGCTGCTTGGAGGACTAGGTGGTATCGTACTCCGGCATTCGTCAAACTAAGGTTTACACACTTGGGCGAGCTTTTCGTCAACCCTCCCGAAGAACTCTGGAGTGGAACATTGTTTTAAGCGTTCAGTCCTTTTCTTAACTTAACGTAGATTACCTGTAGTTTTCATTTAACAAATTCAATACATTGTGGTAACATAATGGACAATCTAATTAAATGTTTACGTGAGCCCCTGAGTACGCAATTAAGGAGTACATTCCGCTCTCGATGGACAAAAACCACCCTCTATAAGTCACTCATCATACCCGTAGCGATATATGGCGCAGAAGCATGGACAATGACAACATCAGATGAGGCGGCCTTTGGAGTATTCGAGATTTTGCGGAAGATTTATGGGCCTTTACGCGTCGGCGACGGCGAGTACCGCAGACGATGGAAGGATGAGCTGTATCCGCTTTACAACGACATAAATATAGTGCAGCGAATTAAAATACAGCGGCTTCGCTGGCTTGGTCATATCGTTTGAATGGACTCTGATACTCCAGCTCTGAAAGTATTCAACTCGGAGCCCGCCGGTGGTAGCAGAGGAGGAGGGAGGCCCCCACAACGATGGAAAGACCAGGTGGAGAAGGACTTGGCTTCACTTGGCATTACCAATTTTCGTCAGTTAGCACTGAAAAGTAACGACTGGCGTGCTTTGTTGAATAAGAAAAAGAAGACGACCTAACGAAACCTAATATATATCGTTATTTGGTTCCAGGTTTTCCAAAATATGTTTCGGTCATGAGAACTATCGTTATTTGGTTCCAGGTTTTCCAAAATATGTTTCGGTCATGAGAAGCACTTAACCCAAGATGAAATGGAAGAACAACGGTTTCGAAACAATATAACGTCGCTATTTTTATTTTTCAAAGACTGGCGCTGGGAAATTATGTTCATGAAGCAGCCAGATATTATGCTCAAGTACAGCGTTTTCGTTTCGTACATAACGCTGCTGTGTGCCATTATAATGCAGGCGGTCAATTCGTCGTAAGTAAAATTCAAATTGAAATTTATAGCTCACTTGCAACGATTTGTGACCAAACGATTATAAAATAATATTTTCTCAAACTCACATTTAATCAAATACCATTTCTAATTAATTAGGCAAACATTAGCGTTTTGGATACTAGTTGGGATCAGCAACATTGTAATGATATTGCTATTGGCCTTGGTTTGGTACAAAAAGCTTTGGATAATGTTTATTAGCGAGACAGAGTCATCGAAGCCAATGAAAAAAGTCAGCAAATGTCTCTATAAACTATCGGAGCGCATTCAAAGTAACATCACTATGCGCATTGGCATGTACTTAGTGGTGCTTGTCCTGCACTCCACTGGCATTATCTTGCAATTGGTATGATAAGAGATAAGCGCTCAATAGTTTATTTTCCATGGTACTAAATATGTAGCTAATACGTTTTCATTTCAGATATATTTCGGTAATCATATAAATGATGCAGCTAATGTGCATATTTTGGGTGTCGCCAGGCATGATGTTTCTTCATTCAATGCTTGGGTTCGTCAAAGACTTAGTTGATGGTGGACTTTTTATCATTAAATACTTTCCCTTAGGCTATCACAGAGTGTTTTATGTTGACCATTTGCATAACCTTCCTATTTACACGGATTCCATTCATACTCAAATTGAGTGTTGGCGTTTTCACATTAATTTTTTACACAGTCGTCGTAACGCTCTCGTATAGTTATGTTTATGGCCAGAGCCTTAGCACTAACGATCACTTATATCCAGAATATTCACATATATTTGTGATGTGCATAACGCTGGGTATATTTCATCTAATGGATAGGCAGACGGAGTTCATAGCGAAAGTTGATTATAAGTGAGTATCAAGTCGCCCATTTACACGTTACATATTTGCTCATAAGCATGTACATATATAGTTTTGGCACTAAGCCCAACGGAATGTCTTCAGTCCTTCATCAGCTTCTGTATCAAATTAGAAAACATTTAATATAATATCACTTATTATAATAATTTACACATGCACATATGTATATAGAAAGTAAGACTAAAGGAAAGTATTCTTCCGAAAGTAAATATTGATTATTCGCAAATTTGGTCATCCAGGATACTATTATTTAATATTTTAAACAGAAGCTTGGTATTATCTCCCAGCGTACTGGGGATGTGGTGGGCTTTATAGGCTGCTCGTGGTGAAATCTTAGCTTATACGGGCGAGATAATAATCCTTAGGTATTAAAAGTCCCTAATTTAAACTACCCTCTCAAAATGAGGTTTAATTTATGTACTTCTTAAAATACCGAAACTATGAAAAGCGTTTTGCATTGTACTAGCCTGTAAACAGCTGCAGATAGGTAAAAAATGCAGAATTAAATCCCATATTATGCACTTCATGCACAAGCTACTTCTATTTGCAAACTTTTCACGGAGCCATTCCACTTCTAGGTTAGGTTAGGTTATATTGGGTGGCTGTCTACAGCAACATGCATACTTAGAGCTGAAACTAAAAATTCCTCCTTAGTGACACGATTTCAGGATTGGGAAAGAAGAATGGAAAACCGAACTGTAGCGCTGAAGTTTTGGTAGTAAATAATAAAGTAGCATATGCCCACAAGCGACTAAAATCTATTCTTGGAGCCTTATCTGGGGTGAAAAAGGAGACCCAAGAAGTTTATTACATAAGCTAGCATAACGGCCAAGGTGCAGATGCTTATATGATCCCACCTCATCGCCTTCCATGCGGTTGTTACTGTAAGAGCTTGAGGTGATGCCGAGCCTTACAAAAAAAAAAACAAACAGTCTGTTAAGAATTTCTCCAGTCCTGTTTAACTTTAAGGGCCTCGGACCTCCGTGGACAGAAGCACTTGTCACCTTTCATTCCAAGATTTCCAACAAATCCCGACAACCCCTTTTAGTCTTAAACTCATCTGAGTTTGCTCGTTTGTATTTTGATGCGGTCGAAAGGTATGTCGGGCACTCCGTGACAGTTTTCAAGCTAATCATCGTAGACCCAAAGGCTGTTATTGCCGCTAAGCTATCAAGGTATACATACATATGTTCAAATTTTTGACAGGTACTGGACTTGTAAGTATCTAAAACACATGTTTTATGCTGGTTATCTTCGTTTGAAAAACACAGCGAATGAGGTTAATGGAAGTTCCTCGCAGAAGACACCACCAACAACTCTTATATCTGTCAATAAATTCAGTTGGCGCTTACTCCTATTATTGCACTTCGTCTCATCTTACATTGAAGGAATATGAGTGGTGAAGGATTTAAGCATATTGGACTTAAAGACTTTTGAATTTCCCGAGCACTTGTTTCCACCTAACCCATTGGCAATAATTTTGAAATTTACATATCTGTACGGCAAACTTCATACGACTGTACCTAGTATCGATTTTACAATGAAAAGATAATAAGAACAAGTAATTTTTAAGCAAAAAACACAACTGACTTCAATTCGAATATTCAAATTTAGGAGTACCGTTAATTTTTTCATGGTCCAATGATCAGATCGAAACAAATTAGTATGAGACCACCTGTGAGACACTACCCTTTCCAATGGAAACAAAATTATCGAAATCGGTTGACGTGGTCCAAAGTTATGCGGTAACATACAAAACAAAAACATAAATCTATATATATAAAAATGAAATGTTTTTCGTATGACAGCGATGCCTGACCAAACGGCTGAACCGATTTAAATTCTGTAAAAGGTACTTTTTTGGACCTTCTGTGTGGAAGGTTTTTCGAGTAAAAAAAATTTGAAACTTTTTGTTGTTGTTGCTGAAAAATGACGAGTGCTGAGACGTCACGATTTCATAATTTCATAGAGTTTTCTCTACATTAAATGTCACTAAACTATTAAACGGCTAGCCCGATTTGGTTCATATTTGGAACATGTCAGCACTAGAGTCCGACCGATTAATCGGCATCGGCNTGCATCGGCCTTTTTTCGCCGTTTCTTTGGAATTTCTTTTCAGGTGAAGCGACAGCCAACATTAAAAAAACATTTGCAGACAGCTCATAAAAATGATTTTTTTTGTTGAAGGTGTTTTACGTTTTTGCCATACAAAAGTATGTGAGACAATTTTCTTTTATATGGAGAACACTGCCAGCAAAAAAATTGCCGAAACTTAACGGGATTTTATAGCAGCTTGAAACTTGCAATTCATTATACTAGAATTAAATGGTTTACAAACCATACCAAAATTCCAAAAAGTTTGAAATTTTGGTGAAAATAAGCAGAATTTTTCTAATTTTAGTACCAAGTTTGAATTTATATGGTGTTTGTTGTATACCAGCTAGACTTTTATAAAAAAAAATAATAAACATTAAATAAAAAAGACAAAATCGGTCAAAATATCGCATTTCTTTTATTTTGTGGACCACTATATGTATGTACATACATACCTAGCATATAAGTTCTTATGCATTGAGTGCAAAAGAGTGTATTTTAGTACAAAACGAAATGAAATTTTATGTTCCTAAATATTTTTTGCTTAGCACCATATAAAAAAGTGTTTTATGTAATGTACATAAATGTGATATATGTCCATATATTTTTACACATACATATGTATGTATGTACATACATGGGTATGTAATGTTGCATAACAAGTCAATTAATTCAATTATTTCTTTTCTTTTGTATTTTTTAACTCCGTGAAATGAACTGATTTTATGAATTAACACATTTATTTGTAATTTTTTATGGAATCGGCATCGGCATCGGTCGATTCTTTCCCCATAAGCCGATGGGACTAAAAATATACACGATAGGTGGCCCTGTGGCCGAGACATCCCCAAAAATTATTTTACGCAAAGAGAAGTATATATCTACTATATATTTGTGGAAGTATGTATGTATGTATGTGCCAGGTTGCAGCCTAAATGGACGTACAGAATCGAACAACCTTTTGACAGAGTATCGCCATAACACCTGGGCTTATAATAGGGTAAAAAAATTAGGATTCGACAAGGGGGCGTGGCACCTCCCATAGGCGTGAAACTTTTAATCAGCCATAACTTCGGAACTATAAGTCACATGAACTTGAAATTTGGTATGCAGTCATACATATATATGGTAGGTGCTTACAGTAGAGTATATATAAATGACTTTGTAAAAGTGGGCGTGGCATATCCTATAGGCGTGAAGTTTGTTATCAGTCATAACTTCGGAACAATATCTATGGTAGGTGCTTATAGTGGGGTATCTTAATATATAAAAATCCCGTGTCACTGCGTTGGTTTACGCTAATCTCCGACGTCGCTTAACCGATTTCAGCAAGATTTTGTGGGTGTGTATTGTTGGTTCCAATATAAAGGATAGGATAGTTGTAAACCCGAGAAGAAATTTTTTTTTTTCATCGACATTTTTTCTATACTTCTCGCATCGTTCTTATCTATATATATAAAAATGAAATGTTTTCCTTATGACGGCGATGCCTGACCAAACGGCTGAACCGATTTCCACTCTGTAAAAAGGACTGTTCTGAGCCTTCTGAGTGGAAGGTTTTTCGATTTAAAAAAATTTGAAATTTTATGTTGTTGTTCTGTATTCATAAAAATTTCATTTACTTGCTGGTTTGGCTCATATTTAGAAAACAATTTAGCCAATTTAAAAGAAATATTTGCACTTGAAACTTACACGATAGGTGGCCCTGTGGCCGAGACATCCCCAAAAATTATTTTACGCTAAGAGAAGGATATATTTTTGGAAGTATGTATGTGCCAGGTTGCAGCCTAAACGGACGGACAGAATCGAACAAAATTTTGACAGAGTATTGCCATGACACCTGGGCCTATAATAGGGGAAAAAAATTTGGATCCGACAAGGGAGCGTGGCACCTCCCATAGGCGTGAAATTTTTAATCAGCCATAACTTCCAGACCATAAGTCACATGAACTAGAAACTTGGTATGCAGATATGTCAATGGTAGCTGCTTATAGGCAGGTATATATAAACGAGTTTGTAAAAGGGGGCGTGGCACATCCCATAGGCGTGGAATTTTTTATCAGCTATAACTTCGGAACCATAAGCAAGCACAGCTACGGTAGGTGCTTATAGTAGTGTATGTATATTTACATGAGTAAGGGGGCGTGGCACGTCCCAAAAGCGTGATATTTTTATCAGCTATAACTTCGAAATCATAAGTCACATGAACTTTGAATTTGGGATGCAGACATATCTATGGTGGGCGCTTATAAGGTGGCGTGGCACATCCCGTAGGCGTGGAATTTTTTATTAACTATAACTTCTATAACTTCGAAATCATAAGTCACATGAACCTTGAATTTGGGATGCCGACATCTCTATGGTGGGCAATTATAATAAGGTATATAAATGAATTTATAAAAGGGGGCGTGGCATATCCCGTAGGCGTGGAATATTTATCAGCTAGAACTTCGGAACCATAAGCCCCATATATGAACTTGAAATTTAGTATGCAGGCACAGCTACGGTAGGTGCTTATATTAAGGTGTATATAAATGAGTTTGTAAAAGGGGGCGTCGCACATCCCGTAGGCGTGGAATTTTTTATCAGCTATAACTTCGAAATCATAAGTCATATGAACTTGAAATTTAGTACGCAGGCACAGCTACGGTAGGTGCTTATAGTAAGGTGTATGTATATGAATGAGTTTATAAAATGGGGCGTGGCACATCCCATAGGCGTGGAAAATTTATCAGCTATAACTTCGGACCCATAAGCCCCATGAATTTGATATTTGGTATGCTGGCACAGCTACGGTAGGTGCTTATAGTAAGGGGCATATGAATGAGTTTAAAAAAGTGGGCATGGCACATCCCATAGGCGTGGAATTTTTTATCAACTATAACTTCGAAATCATA